TAGTCAGCAACCCTCACAGTCATAATCCGTAATAGAAAACTTCTGATTAGGCTAAAAAGTAGGAAAACAGACTTGCAACGCAAAAGACTCCAAATTTTCCCTTTGTGTGTAGGCTCAGAGTAAGAACGAACGGAGAGAAGAGAGAATTAAGGGGAATGGTTGCAGCAATGAAAATCACAGCGACAGCACCGGCAATGACTATTATGCCCTCAGCAACATGTTTTTAATGCTCAACATCATTAGTGAGTTTTCTCAACTCTCAGAACTCTAGCAGGTGGCGGCTAGGAGAAAGGAGGCCGAGTTCACAACAGCTGCTCTGGCATCTTTGCTGTGGCGTAAGCTGCTCTTGGGGACTAGCCAGCGCTTCCCAGTACATGCCAGGAGTCGTCCAAGAGATCGTTTTGGTCAAGCCTTCCCAAATATTTGGTACAAAGAATGTCAGCCAGTAATCCTTGGGCTTTACCAATAAGCTAACCGTAGCTCCAACACCAAAGAACATTTTAAGTGGCATGCAAAGAGTAAAAAGAAAACCTTCTAATTCACAAATGCCAATTATATCTAGACAATTGGGGGGTGAAGAGGCAGCGGAGACAGAGAAAACATCCCCCCCAAGAGTCCACAAGCTGTATTCTCACACCTTCTTATTGTCTATGATGCGACTCTACACCTATACTTTACATTTTCTGAGATATCTTCATTTCTTGATAATTTTTCTGTTTCTAGCTCATCAAAGCCAATGTCAAGTTGTTGTCTTAATCCTGTACAGCAGTGGTTCTCAGCCCTGGCTTTTCTTTGGGATCATCTTGGGAGCTTGGCAAGGTACTGAGACCCAGGCGGCACTCAGGACCAGTTAAATCAGAATCTCTAGAGGTGGGACAGGTGTTAGGAGCTTCTAAACCTCCGAGTGACTCTAGTGTGTGTCCACAGTTGAAAGCCACTGCTGTAGAGGATTTGGGGGAGTAGGGGTGGAGGGCAGCAGAAAGTGGGAGCCAGGAGGTAGATGGAATCTTCCACAAAGTTCCAGCATGGAGGACTTTGGAGGATGCTGATTGAAGTTAGCAGGCTGAGTAGCTACAGCTGATGCCTTCGCTCGTGATAAACTATCAGCAGAGGCTCGGTTTCCTTAAACTATATGTTATTTGAATTTGAACGATTTGCCATTAATTTAAGCTTTGTTGAAATTAACCAAAATATCATTGAGACCTTAAGAAAGTGAAGGGGAAGCTGAGGCAAGCATCAGTTAAGAGGGCCATACAAACAGCCCTATCCTCAGGGTGTCTCCAGAAGAAACTTTAGCTACAGCCGGCCAAGGCTGGTCAAGCAGGGGTTCTGGGATTGTGGGTTCTGGGAGTGTGGTCCAGACATAATGTTGACTGTAATATGGAAAGTTATGGTCTGGCAGGCAATCTACAGCAGGAGACTGACTCCGAGTCTGCACTTTCTCTCAGTCCTGCATCCCTTACCCCACGGGCAGGTGGCAGTTGGAGGAGGGCCAGAGTAAGACCCTCTAAAGCAGTGGTTCTTGAGTGTAGGTGTGCATCACCATCACCTGCAGGGGTTACTGAAACACATAGCAGCCTTGCCAGGTTTATGATGAAGCCTAAGAATTTGCCTTTCTAACAAGTTCCGAGATATTGCTGGTTGTACTATGGATCATGCCTTGAGAATTACTGCTTTAAAATATGCAAGCCAGGACAGGACAGGGTTGTCCAGGTCTAGAAGAAGCACGCCAGACTTCAGACTTCAATAGTATTCCAAGAAGGAACAGAATCTGATCCTGAGATGTGCTGTGATTTATTTTTATTAATAAAAGTGTGAGAGTCGTCTGATTAAGTGATTACCCCATGAGAACATACAGGGTTATAAAAATAGATATGCAAAAATGCATTTCAGTTGTCTGTTCCTAATATTTTTGCATTAGAAATTGGTAATATTTAAATCAGATTTAATTTTAGAGCCCCAACGTTTACTAGCACGAGACTAGAAACAATGACAGCGATATCATGAAAATCATTTAGTGCTTCAGTATTCCATGAGTTGCTTTTCCAGTAGCAAACTACCTATAGCTATGCTGAACAAGAGAAGGCCAAAGGCATGGGAGATGCTCGGCAGGGTCTCAAATGGGACAATCAGGCACCGAGATGTGGCTGGCAGGGAACCCTGGCAAACACCAGGGAGGCCTGGCCCAGAGGTTGCAGACATGGGGCAGAGGATCTTTTGTGCCTGGTCTAGAGCCGATTCCCAAGAAGGCAGGTTGGCCTACAGGTCGTGGAGCTTTTTTATTTAGATCCCACTTCTCTCTCTGTCTAATCACCCAGATTGGAGGCCATCCTGGCCTATAGTGGAATACCTAGAATATTTCCAGAGACAATCACTTCTACTTCCCCAGTTGTTCCATAGATTAGAAGTGAAGGCTTTTTGTGTCACATAGGACATTACAGTCAGCGGGCAAGCGACAGCAGTTAGCTCAAGCTCATAGTCACCTACTGCTGGATAGGGCCCATCACATATTCCTCTCTCCACCTCCCAAGCTCCCTACTAAGTTATGTCGGACCTTTGCCAGTTCTTGAACTCGAGGGCTCTGTGATGCCTTTCCTTCCTTTCTTCCCTGATCAACTCCTACTCATCCTTAAGAACCCTGCTCAGATGTTACATCCCTTACGAACATGTGTCCGGCCAGTCTGGCCAGATAAAACGAATTCCTCCTTCCATATCATGTCTGATACACATCACACTCACATCACACTTATCACGCTGTGCCTTAAGCGCTTGTTCCTGTGCTTGCCTTTCCTCACCTCTATATTATTTGCTCTTGGAATTTGCGCTATGGCTTATTCTTCATGTCCCTAGCACCTAGCACAGTGGCTGACACAGCACCTGCAAGTTTAGTGGTTAATTATTGAAATAAATGAATTCCAGTGCTCAGATGGGAGAAAAGATTCCTTAAGTACCCAGTAGGGATGTGGGCTGGAAAACAGTGACGCTCATAGAATCACAGACAATCAGAGCTAGAGGGGACCTTAGCTATTCACTGGTTCCAGTTCCTTGTCCTGTGAAGGAGGCTCAGAGATGCTTAAAGATACTGAGTGACTCACCCAAGAATGAGAGCAAACTGGACCAGAATTCATCGCTGTGGGTTCCAGTCTCACAATCAGTCGGGTTTGGCCCCAACAGCTAGATGAAGAGTTTGTGGACTAGATCAGGCCCTCTTCCCCATGAGTAATGGAACCAGATCCCACGATGCCCACCTCTTACCCTAGGGGACAAGCCATCCTCGCTCTCCTGTGCTAAATCCAACCCTGAGACAACGTGAAGATGTTCTTTGCCACGGAATCTAACCTTGTCGTAGGATGTTTGAGTTAAGAGTTCATCTCTAAGCCTGAACCCCAACTGAGTATTGGAAGGTTTTCTGGTACTTTAGAAGCAAAAAGGATGTTTGATCAGTGGATAAGGAAGAGAAATGGAAACACCTCAGTACTTGATTTCATGACCTGTGGAAGCAGACCCACTCCGGGGGCCCTTTCTCCCTTCCCGTCCTCTGGCTCCTCCTTCCTGTCCATGGCTTAGGGCCATGGAACTTCACTGACATTTGTTTCTATGGCACAAGATGAGAGGGGGTCGAAGAAAGAAAGCTGGTGGGGGTCCACACTGGAAAAAGACTGGATGGGGAAAGGGGTTTTGAGAGTCCAAGGTTCCTGGAAATGGAATATAGACAGGAAGGATAATGATGTCATTCCAGAACTTTTTTGGGGAGAGGGAGTGGTAGTACTCCACCCTATAACAAGTTCTACAGTAGACATAGGAGTTCATTCATTCATTCATTCAATTAATAAAAGTTGTCACGTCACTCTCCTGCTTAAAACCCTCTACTCCCTTCCCGTTGCCTTTAGGATAAAACCATAGGTCCCAGCTATGTCCCTGCAGACCTGGCTCCTACCTCCAGCTCATCTCCTAGGACTCTTCCCTACAAGCTCAGCAATTCTCGTTCTGCCTCAGGGCCTTTGCACTTGCTGTTCCTGGAAGGATCTCTCCCACGTTGCTTCTCATCCTTCAGATCTCAGCTTGAAGACCACATCTTCCGAGAATTATTCTTCACTGAGCATCCCTCGCTACACCCTGCAGTCACCCTCTATAGCCACCCTCCACTTATTTCCTTCATGGCATGTGATGAGTCTGAAGATATCATTTTTATTTTTTTATACAAGACTATAAGCTCTGTGAGAACAGAGACCTTGTCTTATTCACTGTGGTGTCCCCAACACCTAAAACAGTGCTTGGCACATAGTAGGTGCTCAGGAAAAATTGCTGAATAAATGAATGAAACACCTACATATATGTGTTATGCAGACGAGAGAATAGAAAGCTTCCACTGTTTCTAGGAACTACGACCTAAAATTGAGTAGAATTTTTTTCTTGGTATGATCTCCGTAGCTTCTGATTCCTGAAATCTGATTTTTGGCGTGGTTCTCAAGATTCCTGTTCTAGTTCCGTAAAAACTCTGTTATCAGTCAGGTGATCAGCTTGTCCTATTTGCCACCATCACTCATCTGGATTTTCATTAAAGCACCAACTTGCTCTCAATTGCTAGGACTTTTTCTTCTGTATAATTTTTCTTACTTAGGCTGGTCCAGAGTCGGGTCTACTTCATCTGTATGTGTATAATGTACAAAATGATTTCCACTTTGATGCGGGGTTAGGGGTCTGCTGGAGCAGGACTCTGGTGTGGGACTGGAGGTGCCTACACTGAGTGTCAGATCAGCCGCAGACTCTGGCCAAGAGCTCTGGCACAAGAGTGAAAGGCAGATGCCACCACAGGTCCAGGCAAGGTCAGGTCCCTGGCAGCCACGGTGGATGGGCCCTCGCTCCTTCCTGGGCCCCGATGCTGGTAAAATCTGAGAACTCAGGAACATGGAGTTTGTCCCGTTGGCACGGCCCTCCCCTCCTGCCCATTAGAGAATGTGGTAAAGTGCCCATGTAATGCCAGCTCTCTCCTCTCACAGAGTCCTGGCCCGTGGTCGTGCAGTCCAGGTGGCTGGATGGCATGCTGGACCCAAGCTCAGCTCAGCGTCCGGGCCCAATAACGGCTTTTCCAAGGAAGCAGCTTTCCGTCCTGGCCACACCGAGGTGAGCACCCAAGGGGCATCTGCCTCACCAAGGTTCCTGGCTCTGGAGCTGCCAGGACAGCTGGAAATGGGCCCCAGGCTGAGGAAGGGGCATCAGACCCAACTGCTGATCAGCAGGGACCTGGGCGGGCTCCTAGTGATCCAGCACAGGTGACTCTCCTAGCACGTCTGGGAAAGGAAGTCCCTGGCGCTCTCACGCTGGCCCAAGGCTTCCAGGAGCATGCTAGGACCCTGAGGCCCCTGCCTCTAAAGTGACAGAGCGCAGGGCCTCAAACAGACAGACAGTGTCAGTCAGACCCTCCACCCAGCTCCTGGTCTGTCCGATCAGGCAGCCTTGTGAGATGGAAGGTCCTCGATCCCTCCCATGCCCTTGGCCATGGAACGGAGGGTGGGGAGAGCTCCAGATCTGGAGACAGAGGCCCAGCTCTGAGTTCCGCTTCCACTAGGTGTGTGCCCATGGTCGAGTTATTTACTCTTACTGTAAATAACTGCATCTCTGTATCATCCTCTATAAAATGGGGACAATAAGGCCTAGCTCCGCCCCCCCCACACTGTGATGGTTAATGAGACAGTTATGCCCAACAGATGTTAATTAGGATCTCACCTCATTCATTCTAAGATAGGGCTCTAAGAATGAGGATCAGTAGATTCTGTTGCCATTCTGCCCTGGAGCAGACCGGCAAGTCCGCAGGCGCCTGCTAGTGCTTCCTGGCTGCATATTTTCACCGTGGGCATTTTAAGAACTTTTGGATCAAGTCTACACGAGGCCCAGAAACCTGATAAACTAATTTAACAATAACTAAATATCCAAATGTTCCCTGGTATCTGGATTTATGGCCTAAGGACGGTAAGACTCATAGTCCGTCGAATAGAATTTTCACTTTGATGTTGGGGGTTGAGTAAACACAGCTCAGGACCATCAATGGTAGGGTGGAGCCCAGGCCTCTGTCCCCTCAAAGGTGCTGACCAACATCAAGCACCCCCACGTGGAGCGTGGCACCCATGACCTGTATCACCCTAGGTCACTTAGCCTCCCGAAGCCCATCTCTCTTCTCTGTAAAGTTCAAGGGTTGGACTAGGTTAGTGATTCCTGAAATGTGGTCCCCAGACCACCAGTATCAGTATCTCCTGGGAGCCTGTGAGAAATGCAGGTCCTCGGGCCCCACCCCAGACCTACTGAGTCAGAAACTCTGGAGGTGGGGCCAGCAGTCCGTGATTTAAGAAGCTCTCCAAGTGATCTTGAGGCGCTGTACCTCTGGGCTTGAGAAGCTCTGCCGTCCCTTCTAGTCCATGCCGCTCCCCAGGACATGGAGCAGAGGCGCTGGATTCTACACTGTCAGTGCCTGTCCCTGCTGCAGCCTCCGGGCTGTATCTCCCTGGGGAGCTGAGGAGCCACAGAATCCCTCTCACACTCCACGCAGCCCCCACAGCCGAGAGTGTCAGCCTTTACGGCTGAAGACAGCAGGCAGTTACATGTAGAGCAGAGACCAAGTGTGAAACAAGAGATGACCCTTGGCCCACTCTCATAATGTGGCGAGAGATGCAGGCCCAGGAGGAGACTGGATTTCCTCAGCCACAAGAATTTCCTCTCTCGCTAACACTTAGTGACCCTGGTTCACTGATCCAATCTCCAGCCTGAGAATCCCTGAGAGCTCTTGGCACCACTCCCACGGAGGCAGGGATGGTCTTACTCCGGTCATGGCACACCTCTGAAGGCGGGCTGCCAAGCCCCCCAGGGCCACGGGCCCCCTGGACACGCTCTGGGCCCGTTGCTTAGCTCTGTCCAGCACCTTCATCGCCTCTTCAGGTGAGACCACGATCTCTTTGAAAGACGATTCGCCTGGTGCAAGAAGTTTCTCTTATTGGAGTGTTTGGAAATATGAATGGAAATTCACACTGGCCCGGGAGAAGGCAAGAGACTTGCGCGGCCCGTTAATAGCTGGATAAAAGGAACCTGGTGGGTCCCAGCACTTAGTCATTTCACTTCCACTGTGGTAGGAGCACAGTTACAGAACATTCACACGCGACACAGGACACGTTCCTTCCTGTGAGCCCCTAGCTGCATCTTCCCCAGCTAATCATTCAGCTCACAGGGCTTTGTGTAATGAAGCACCCCACCCCCCACCCCCACCCCCACATCGCAAGGATGGCAGCTCTTCAGGAGAAAGGCTTCGAAGGTAGTTTTTAAAAATAATTCAACAAGAGTCCCCCCCGGGTTCACTTCAACTAGGAAGAATGTTCTTTTGTAAACTACATGTTGTGTGTTGTCAGTAAAATAGAAAGCACACTTGTTTCTTTTTTTTTTTTCTTTTTTTATGTACTGATGATTTCTGAAAAGACTTTTTTAATTTAAAAAGATAATAGGGACACACTATGATAAGTCAAATTTAAAAAACAAACAAACACCCTTTCATCTGAAACCCAAATAAGAGATATGGTTGCAACATTTTCAAATCTGAATGAAACAATCTGTCCAGAGTACATACAGATCTCCAGCGTGATCGCGTGCCACCAGGTTCCACGCGTTATCTCCTGACAGTGACCTGAGAGGTAGCATTAGACTTGAGGAACTGTGAGAAGGCGGGTCAGGAGAACCAGCGGAGTGTTAGGCAGAGTGGAAAACTGTACGCTGCCATACCTCCCTTGACTGCACTTTGCATCCATATTGAGGCAGGACGCTCCACCAGCAAAATATTACGACTCGCTGAAGGCTCGGATGATGGTTAGCCTTTTTTTAGCAATCAGATATTTTTAAAGTAAGGTATGTACATTTTTTTAGACATAATGCTATTGCACACTTAATAGACTACTGTATAGGGTACACACAACTTACATGCACTGGAAAACCAAAAATAACGTGTGATTTGCTTTACTGAAATACTTCGCTTTATTGTGGTGATGTGGGACCAAACCAGCAGTATCTCCAAGATATGCCTGCAATTTCTGAAGCTCAAAGAAGGTCAGAGTTGGAAGATGCCCTGAAACATTACCGCTCAGATGGAGGAATTAAGGAGCACAGAGGGAAGGAGCTACCTGCGAGTGCTGAGCCACCTGGACATGACAAAGATGAACAGGATGCTTTTCTGCCTTCAGGGAGTTTGCCCTCCAGAAGGGAGGGTACGAGAAAAACACACCTGTAATGAGAGAGCTTTAAGGAAATCCTTTCAGCAATGGGGAAGGGAGAGGGTTTGTCTCTTTGGAAACAGGAAAAGCTCCCCAGAGGAGGTGGCATTCAGGATGTGTGTTAAAAGACAACGGAAAGGACAGCCAAGGTGGGGACAAGACACAAGAAGGTCCGGGGAGGAGTCGCCTGGTACCGAAGAGCCTGAACCAGGGCCAGTGGTGGGGAAGCATGGAGCGGGCACTGCCCGTGGGGAGTTCTGTTTGCCTGGAATGCAAAATATGTGAGGGGAGTGGGAGGGCAGGGCCTGGCCGGCAGGCAGGGCGCTCCTACTGGCTCACAAGACAGCCTCTCACCACGGGACCTCTGAGCAGGGTGGTGTGATCAGAGCTTCGAGAAGTCGAATGGGGCAGCCTGCGTAGTAGGCGCTGGAAGTGGAGAGATGAGGGTCCAGGACATCACTTGGGAGACGGTTCCATGACCTGAACTCGCAGCACAGGGGTGAGAATGGACATTCCAGTCTCAAGAGATGCTATCGAACCAGAACCAAAAGGGCTGGATGGAGGGAGGGCGCAGAGGAAAGAGCAGAGTCCAGGGATGAGCTGAAGACTGGAGCTGGTGAATGAAAGGCTGCTGGTCCCCGCGACAGAGACGGGAAAGTGCGAGGAACACGTACGTCCAGGAGGATGGGGAGAGATGTTCATAGGAGACGGCAGCCGTGGAAGGGCTTCCAGCAAGTGGCCCCAAATGGCGCCGCTGCTGCTGGGTGAAGAGAAGGGAGAGGGTGATGATGCTGATGAAGATCATGGATAAGAAGACTCTTGTTTCAGGTGGCTGGCTAGTAAAACGTCAGCATCTGTGGAGGCTTCCCCATCAGGAAGCTGGAGGTGCATAACTGGCTTTCAAAGGAGCAGATGGGCTAGAGACCCTGGTACGAGCCTCGACTGCACTGACATTTCGGGAGACGCCTTGGAAGGTGATGCGAGCACCAAAGGGGAGACTGTGGAATGAGGTGGAAACCTCTGGAAACGGGAAACAGGGAGCGGTATGTCCTTTATTATCATCAAACCCCTAAATTTTAGTCTTTTTTTCAATCTCTCTCTCTGAATTCTAAATGTTACTCATTTGGATAGAAAGAGATGAATATCAGTTTCATTTCTTCTCCCTTCATCTACCCGATAAGGGACATCGTGTACTGAGAAGCAGGAAGAAAAGAAACAAGAACAGAAGCAAAAGTAAAGGGCTTGAATTCACTGCCAACAGTTGGCTGGACGTTTACCTGCACAGCCATTAGCCAAGAGGACCAGCAGTAGCCAAAGCCCAGATTGCCACCGCGTCCTCTGCGTGACGGGCTGGAGAGCTGGAGCAAACACAAGCATTTTTAAAGAAACCAGAGAGAAAAGAATGTGGCGGTTTTATTCTTAGTATCTAACCAAAGAGCTGTCTTTTTCCAGCTGTCTAAAAGCACAGTATTGAGAAGAATGCATCGCTTTAAAACAGTAGGAATGCAGCATTCGGCCATATGCACAAAATCCAAGAGAGGCCATGCCCCATGGTGGCGAGAAAGCAGATGGGGAGAATCCCTGGCCATCCCCATTCGCCGTTTCTTCCATCTCCTCGTAGTTGTTGAGGGTCTACTACTATATGCCAGGCACTGCACGTGGCCTTGGAAATATTTGAATGCAATGGCGCAGCTTTCAAGGTGCTCTCAGGAAGACAGATATGTAAACGATTATCCACAGCACTAGGAGGGGTGATGGGGTGATGCACCAAAGACCAGGGAGGCAGGTGCACGCCCAGGGTTAGAGTGACTACCTGCTGTGACAGAGCTCTGGCCTCCAGGACCTCACAGCCAGTAGGGAGGCAGGCTCAAATCGTCATGCTTCGGAAGAAGCTAGAGGTAAGACAAGGTGCTTTGGAAAGGTGTGGGTGGAAGATGACCAGGGAATGAATAAGCAGCAATATAACTGAAGAAGACAAAGTCTTTGAGGACAGGAGTGACTAAGAATTAACTCAGGTTTTGTCAGCATTTGTTTAATCCTATCAACAACCCTGTGATATGGTGTTTATTGCCCCCCTTTTTATCAAGGAGGAAACTGAGGCTCAGAAAAACTAAGTGACTTCCCTTTGCTAACAAGTAGCTGATCTAGAAATTCGAACAAGGTTTCTAACCCCACACCTGACAAAGAGTTCTTTTCATTACACTGATTTAGTAGGAGAGAACACACACACACATATACACACACACACACATGCACACGCACACTTTTGAAGCTGAGAATGGAAAGAGATCACTCTTGATTGGGGTGAGCTGAGAAGGTCTCAAAAAGAAGGTGGTATCTGTGCCAAGCTGGACAAGTGGGCAAGGAGCAGAATGACCTGTGGGCATGGGGAGGAGAGATGCGGGAAGGGAGAGAATTCAAGTCTGCACACTCTCTGTAGGAGATGCCCCTAAACCTACCAAGAAGATCTGGGGAAGCTTCACGGAGGAGGTGACACTCGATACATATCCAGAGTGTGACTAGGAGCTCACCCGACGCGAGCTCAAGGACAGAGCAAGTTCTACAGTCACTTGACCCAGGGGGTGGTCACAGGTGGGCAACTATATGCAATATAGAGCCCTGTCCGTCACATGTTCAAGAGGGACTCGTACTGCCTCTTGGGGACAGAAAGATTTATGCCATTTGGTCTATACTCACATGAGAACAAATAATAAAAAGAAAAGACGTGTTTGAGAATGAAAGATGAAGTGAGGAAGGAAAGAAGGATGACAGGGTGGGGGCGGCTCAGCAGAGGGTCAGGTTCGGGTTCTATTTCTCTTCCAGTGTCCATTAGTGACTTTAAGCCTACTGGTTAATTTTCTGTGAATCACTTTCCTGTATATGAGAGATGATAAATTCTAACCTAACTCACACACTAAGGAGAAATTAGAAGTGAACGCATTTGAAAAGTTTTAAAACATCACACAGAGAGGAAACATGATCAGTGCCATGCTTATATGTGAGGGCTACTGGCTGGATAGATGGACTAAGACGGTCCCAGAGCTATACATTTTTTGGCCAAAGATGCCGCTCCGTGGATTCCTGATAAGCGTTGAGTCACCGGATTTCAGAGCTGAGGCAGGGCTGCTGTCCGAAGGGGGTGTGCTCATGCTAAGGCTTCGCAACAAGTCCCGGGCAGCCCTTCCCACTGCCTTCCAGGGATGTCAGGCCACTGGGCGTGCCTCAGTGCCGGGAGAGCTGTCCATCACACCCCGCCTGCCTCGCTGGTGCTCACACGAGCGTATGTGCGGCCTTAACGCAGCGGCCTCAAGCTGGCAGGCAGAGGACTGGGAAGATCCTGTAAATGATGCTCCCAAGTTCACACCAGGCCGCAGGGCAGAGTTTCAGGGGCTCTGCACCCTCACAGAAAAGCCCACCCCTCGGATGGGGTGACCAAACACCCAGGTTGTCTGACCCGCCCCGTTTATGCCTGTCGTCCCCGTGTCACTCCTGCTGGCACCCCCTTCCACTCTCAAAAGTGTCTCGGTTGGAATGGTAACTTCCAGGGTCGCCTGCCCATAGACTGTGGGGCGAAACCTCCTTACGACGC